CCCCCAGGTCAGTGAATGCCCCCCAGTCCACATGTGTAATACCCCGGGTTATCTTCTAATGCCACCCGGAGACTTTCCTTCCTCGGGGGCAGACACTTCTAGTGATGTATTATGTTCTGCGTCTCTTCCAGAAAAACACGAAGGTTTACCCTTGCATGTACTGCAAAACACTCTGCAAGAACTTCGAAATGCTCTCCAACGTGGACAAGAACGGGCGCACGGGTCTTTTCTGCTCCATCTGCTGCATCACGTCACACAAGGTCAAACAGGCGGGACTGACAGGTGAGACCGTTGTCCGATTAGGGAGGTCACCCGGACGCAGCGCTTGTCCCCTGGCCTAGTCTACGGTCCCGGGGTCCCTCATACTCTTCATTGTTTCCTGTCATTAGGTCCTACTCGTCCCTGCAGCTTATGTCGGCGCACTCTGTCTGAACCGGCTTATTATAACAAGACGGAGCGCGTGGTCTACCAGTTCTGCAGTCCCAGTTGTTGGACCAAGTTCCAGGTGAGTCACGTGGAGGAGAGCGGCTGCGGCTCTGCTGTGTTGTATGGGAGCCGCGCACATAGAATGGCTCCTCTGTGATTGCGTGTGTGGCCCGGAAGTAGTCTGCGGCCCGGAAGTAGTCTGCGGCCCGGAAGTAGTCTGCGGCCCGGAAGTAGTCTGCGGCCCGGAAGTAGTCTGCGGCCCGGAAGTAGTCTGCGGCCCGGAAGTAGTCTGCGGCCCGGAAGTAGTCTGCGGCCCGGAAGTAGTCTGCGGCCCGGAAGTAGTCTGCGGCCCGGAAGTAGTCTGCGGCCCGGAAGTAGTCTGCGGCCCGGAAGTAGTCTGCGGCCCGGAAGTAGTCTGCGGCCCGGAAGTAGTCTGCGGCCCGGAAGTAGTCTGCGGCCCGGAAGTAGTCTGCGGCCCGGAAGTAGTCTGCGGCCCGGAAGTAGTCTGCGGCCCGGAAGTAGTCTGCGGCCCGGAAGTAGTCTGCGGCCCGGAAGTAGTCTGCGGCCCGGAAGTAGTCTGCGGCCCGGAAGTAGTCTGCGGCCCGGAAGTAGTCTGCGGCCGGGAAGTAGTCTGCGGCCCGGAAGTAGTCTGCGGCCCGGAAGTAGTCTGCGGCCCGGAAGTAGTCTGCGGCCCGGAAGTAGTCTGCGGCCCGGAAGTAGTCGTCGGTCTAGGAGGCGGAGCCGTCAGCCATTGATCTGCAGATATGGATTATTTCCCGAGTCATGTGTGTCCTATGTCTTCCTCTCCCAGCGTACCAGTCCGGAGGGCGGAATCCACCTCAACTGCCACTATTGCCACAATATGTTCACCGGAAAACCGGAG